GAGAGAGAGAGAGAGAGAGAAAGCATCCTCTAATGGGATGTGGGCATGCCGTGATATTTTCTCCTTCATTTCTCTACCTCATCAGGACCTTGGGCATGCCAACACCCATGCCTGTGTGTCCCTATGCTTGCAGGGGCTGGGATTTGAACTGTGGTCAGCCATGTGGGGTCTAGTTTTCTATGCGCAGTGCTTAACCATTGTGGTCTATTTTAAAGTTTCCATTCTTCGCCAAGAGATTTATATGTGGATTAGGGAGTACATTAAAAATTGAGGCAGTTCTAAGTTTGCCTGAGTTTTTACTTTCTGTTAGACCTTCGTAGGTCTCCTATATGTGAACCTGAAACCTTCTGGTTAGCTAGGGATGTATGAAATACTTAGGTTTTATTAGGTGTCCCCTGTGTGTGTGTATACAGTCTCTCAGTTAGCTAAGGATGTGCAGAGAGCTTATCAAGCACTTCTGTAGGTCTCATTTCTACAGGTTCCCAGTTAGTTTTCTAATTAGTCCTCTAGTTTGTTATCTGCCCCACAGCAGTCCTGTGTGGTGGAACTTTAGGCCAAAGAGCTGGAGGCTCTCCCTATTTTCTTTGTAACCAAGTTTGCTACTTTTACTGGCAGTGCCATTCACTATGGGTTTTTCACTCTCTGCTTCAAATCATGTCAGCCCCTGTTGTCAGTGAAGCTGCTGGTTTTCATGAGTAGCTACGACCAATGACCAGAGGTTAAGGAACTGGAGCAAGGGTGGTATAAGTAGCCCCAGGCAGGAATAATAGAGAGTCCACCTTGAATAGTTTTCATGAATAAACACTTCTCAATTTGTTATTCTCCTTTTGGTCAGTTTCCAGAGCCCTGAAATGGTTGTTTTGAATAATTTTGTCTAGTTTATGTTTTTTTTTTTTTTTTGGGTAGAAGTTTTGCCAAATCCTTCTTGCTGTCATAGTTGAAAGTTTAGCCTTGGGTACTTTATTTCATAGGATTTTTTTTTTTTTTGGCATTGAAGAGATCATTTTTTAAAATTTATTTTTATTCTTTAAGTAATATCATTAGTAGATATTTTAAGTTTTATGCATTCTTTGGATTAACAGTCTTTTGATTACAATTTCCTAGTTTTTCAAAGCATATCTTCTTAATAATTAGAGATTTTTTTGCATTGATGCTTTTATTAAAACTCAGTACTGAATTTGTCTTAATGTACATGAAAACTAGTTGATTCTTGAAGCTGTACTTGAGGAATTGTATGTCTGTACCCTAAAGAAGAGAGGGTTGAGCTAAAGGTGATCAATTCCTTTTGTAGGCATTATCCTGCGCTGAAAACGCTGGAACATCTAGAACATACCTATCTGCCTCAAGTAAGCCACTATCGATTTTGCAAGGTGATGGTGGACAACATCCCTAAGCTTCGAGAAGAAATAAAGGATGTTTCTATGTCTGATCTCAAAGACTTTCTGGAGAGCATCCGCAAACATTCAGACAAAATTGGAGAGACTGCCATGAAGCAAGTAGGTCTTGGGTTTATGAAAGTTTGGTTGATAGCTTTGCAGATTCAGTTAACACAGGTTCCTTTTTGCCAAATGCTTTGTTTCTTTTTATTTAGAGAAGTCCTTTATCTTTCTGGGAAGATAGGATTAAAAAGTGTTTTTTTTTTGTGTTTGTTTTCTTTCTTTTTTTTTTTAAATTTTCTAACAGAACAATGGACTATTGACTAGTATGTTGTTTCGTTCTGTTGAGTAGATGTTGAGTAGACACAGATCAATTGTGATGATATCTTATATATTGAAGATTTGAAGAGCTTTTCAATTTTCTCTTGACTTTGGATATTATTTGAAACCCAACATATTTAGATGTTTAGATGTAAAATTCTTCTTATAGTTAATGACCTAAATTGTGTTGCATGTGCTGGTTATTTACTATGTAAACAAGATGTCATGTTATATATAAGATTTCTGGTATTATCAGGGGTCAGTGAAAAAAAGACCCCTTGGGAAATGCTGTGACCTATGAACACAGAAAGGAATTCATTTACAGCTTATAAATTAACAAGTGGGTTAGAAATATTTAGATTTTTTTCCCCTCTAAATATCTTCATCTCTAAGTCATGAGAGCCACAAAGAACATTGTCTTTTTAAAATTTCTATAAATAAACAAGTAGTAATGGTTTGCAGTAGTACATTATCTTTTAAAATTTAAGCTACATTGATTTTGTTAAAATTTCTTAGTATACCTGATGATGTAGCCTACAATAATAAATAGAAGATTCAATTGTTTATGGGAAGTGTCTTTTGGTTCTATAAACACAGTGTGCTTGATTAGATCATTTGTAGTTCTTATCATTCTGTGGTGAATATGGGACTGGGTTATATTTTGAGTCATATATTAGATCTCAGCGAGCCTTGGTAATCTTAGTTCATTTGTCTGTTTGATCCTACAAAATAGATTTGCCAATTACCTTTTCTTAAGGAATGCAGTTATTTTTCTCCTCTTCTTTTAGATTTTCTTGCTGTTATATTTACAAAGTGTGAAATTTAAAATTAGTTGATGATAAACTTGAAACAAAGAATCATACCGCATAATATTTTATAGTGATGAAGATACAAAGTTAATCATTGCAAATAAAATGGAGGTATCTTATAAGATAAGTCTAACTATTGTGGTTGACAGACTTTTGCTAAACTTTCAGAATTGAAGAGAGTATAGTATAAAGCCAGTGTGGAAACCCTGGTCTCCGCTTTTAATTTTGTAGGAGGGTGCATGCACTCACTGGAGAGAGAGAGACAATGAAGAAGTACTTCCCTACCACAATTCTCTCTCCTTCACTTCTCCTTTGGGGATTTTGAACGCATATACACAAGCACTGGCATGTTTCTCAAGCCACTGGGCCGGGACTCCAACCTCATGGTCAGCCATGTGGGATTCAGCTGCCTTAACAATCGCCACCCTCAGACTGAAATTGCCTTTTTAAAAATTGTTTTTTCTCTTGACTTTGGATATGATTTGAAACTGCCAAGTCTGGTACTCAGACCACAGTTGACTATGTGGAAGTCCAGTGACCTCAGACTGAAACTGCCTTTTTTAAAATTATTTTTTTGGGACCAGCAGGTGACTATTGGTTAAGGCGCTGGACTCCCAACTGATCGAATGTGGTTTGAGTCCTGGACCCAGTAGCTTGAAATTCACTCTAGGCCTGTGTGCCTCTGTGCCCCAAATCCTGATAGGAGAACAGAGGATAAGGAATTGGAGCGTGGCTATCCTCTGTGGAGGGTGATTTGTCACTTTCTGTCTCTCTAGTTGAGTACACGCACTCTATAGCAAAACTCTTTGTCTCAAAAAAAAAAAAAAAAGAAAATGTTGGGTTTTCTAGTCATCTGCTTAAGATGTTAACTTGCTTTTGATGAAAGAAGAATCCATGAATATAATTACTTCATTAAAGGTGAGCTAAGCTAGTCTCATTCCTTAATTATCTAAAGAAATTAAGGCCCAGGGGAGGAAAGTGACCTGCTCAATTTCTAACAACTAACTGGTAAAGATCTTATAGTAAAATTTAGTCGGGATGAGATGAATTTGACTACTATGGTACCCAATCTGTGTAAATTATTGGCTATTTTCTGTATTTTTTGTCATATAAAACAGTGGGAAAGAAATCTTTTATGAATTAGGGACTTTTTTTTTTTTTGAGATGTTTTTGGTATAGTGCTATAGGGCACGTGCACTCGCCAGACAGAGAGAGATAGAGAGACAGAAAGCGAGAAATCACCCCCCAGGGGGGATGGCCACGCCGCAATCCCTTCTTCTCTGTTCTCCTCTCGGGATCTAGGGCACACACACACACACGCCTGGCGTGAGTTTTAAGCCACCAGGTCCGGGACACGAACCGCGGTCGACTACATGGGAGTCCAGCGACATAGCCATTACGATAACTGCTGGTCCCGAATTAGTGACTTTTTAATCAACTGCTAAGTGTTTATTTCTCCTATAGAATTTTTAATCTAAGGAATAACTTTTTTTTTAAAGAGATTTTTGCTATAGGGTGCATGTGCTTGCTGCCAGAGAGAGGGAGAGAGAGAGAGAGAGAGGCAGACAGAGAGAGAGAGAGAGAGACAGATAGAGAGATAGAAAGTGAGAAATCACTCCCCAGGGGGTTGGTTACACTGCAATCCCATCTCCTCCATTCTCTTCTTGGGAGTTTTGGGCACATACTCACACACACCCGGCATGAGTTTTAAGCCGCTGGGTCTGGGACTCAAACCACAGTTGACTACGTGGAAGTCCAGTGATCTAACCATTATGCCATCTGCTGGACCCAAAATAACTCTTATTTGATATATTATTATCCTATCCCATGGTATATGTAGCACCCTTGAATAAAGATATCTTTAATTCTTCTAAATTTTTTATAATACCTAGAATTTGGGGAAAAAAGGAGAAAGTATAATACATATACTTTGAATATAGTAGGTGTTCAGTAAATATTTGTTTGAATCCATGAATGTTGGAAAAGAGGAAAAGGAAGTGGCTTATTTACTACATTAAGTTCAAAATGATGTTTCTGACTTGTGATTATTTTCTTCTCAATGGTTATTTAGGACTTAGAATCTTCCCATTGTGTGGCTCTGCCATCTTTGCTATGGTTTTGAAGATTTCTACTGAGAGGAAAGACCAAAGAGTTTTGCATGTGAGATGGTGTTTAAGGGTCAATTATGGAAGCCACACATTATTACCTCTACCCATATTCGATTGACTGGAACTTAATTACATGTCCATACCTACCTGCAAGGAAGGTTGGGAAATGTATTCTCATTCTGTTTCTAAGAAGAAGACACAGGTTTGGTGAATAGTGGCTAGTTTTTGGCACAGTCTACCCTTAGGTCATCAAATATTTCTTTACTCTTCTTCCCATGCATAGAACACACTTACCTGCTCCCTAGAGAAACAACTCATTGATCCATCTAGTTGCTTTGTCCATCTCTAAGTCTGTATCTTCCAGGGATGCTCAGCCCTCAGTATTTGATTCAGATGTAGCTCTTCATGTGCTGGTGACCAGTTAACTAAAATTACAACTTAATCTACACCTGTGTGCCCTCCCACTCCAATATAGAGTGAAGAGGCTAGACTAGAATAACTACAAGAAAAGCTTCCATTTAGATAAAGGAGGGAGACAAATAGTATTCCCTGTTCTGGAACAAACTATGTAATCCTCTTGGGCAGGCACTGGGGGAGCCCCTCTGTCCTGGAAGTAGGAGAACTTTCTTGCTTTGGCCTTGATTCTCTGGAAAGAATTATTTATCCCATTGGTTCTCATGGCCTTGTAGCCATACATAGTTTTTTCCTTGTGTGTTTTTTTCTACATACACCTCTGAAGTAAATACTGGGGAATATATATTCCTTGGAAGGTGTATTTCTCTCACTCTCTTTCTTCATAATTAAATCTACACCTATATTTATCATTATTATTACTTTTATTTCATAATTGAATTTATGACTTTCGACTTTAAAGGATTTTTTATTGTTCTCATATTCCTATTGTATAATAGTAGCTTCTTTAAAAAAAAAAAAAAACATTTCTAAGTGGCCGTCCTTAGAATCATACTGAGAAAACAGACTTGTAAGTCTTACTTAACATTGCTAGTTGGTCTGGACCCTTCTAGAAAATGCACAAGTGACTGCTTTTCCTTGGTGAACATGCCTCTATTCCTCCTTCTTCGAAAAGAGGAAAAGGAAGTGGCTTTCCTGGGATCTGTAGTGATCCATGGGGAGACTTTGAATTGATGGAGCCAGGTTTGTAGATTGACTTTTTTGGGGGATATACCAGCCAAAACAAATCACCCTGAGTATTTCACTCCTACTATAATGAACAAATTAAGTTTTAAACACTTATTTGAGATCACCGCTGTCTGCTTTGATCAGAATTAAAATGACAAAAAACTGTTAAAGGATAATCCGAAAGATAGTAATTTATTCATTCTTTTTATTTAACATTATATAGTGTCTGTGGATATAATTTTTATCATCAGGAAGCTCTCTGCTTTGATTGTGTGCAGTGGGCAGAATTTTAAGATGGCTCCCCAAATTCCTGCCCCCTGGTGTATATATCCTGTAAAATCCCCTTCCCTTCAGTGAGTGGGCTTGATCTCATCAGATGAGCTCCTCTAAAAGACAGGAGATCAGAAATAGAAGTTAAAGAGATTCAAAGCTGCAGCAGCTGTTGGTTACTGACCTAAAGAAGGAATGGACTGAGAACAGTGCTCTCTGCCACAAGTGTCAGACTCTGACCCATGAGGTTCCACAAGGAGGCAGGCTTCATTATGTATGGGTGATGTCATCTGGGGGACTGCTAGGGTGGCTCAAAAGGCTGCCTCTGAATTTGTTTGGGGTGGGGCTTTTATAGAGAATTTCTTCTCAAGTTTTCTACCAGGTCCCTTTATACAAATAAAAGATGGAAAACTTCTACAGCTCTGATTGGTCAACTCAAGCAACAATCCTATTGGTCTATTATTGAAACTGG